GAAAAAAATCTCTCTAGTGTGTGTATTCAATAAAGTCGAAATTTCCCATTTATTTTCTTAAAGATATCTCAAAGTAAATACCATTCATCTTACCATTTCTTCACAATTTGGTCCTTATTTCTCAATTGAAATCATACACGGTACTCGAACGGTAGTCTTTAGTAAATTACATGTCAATGAATCACGCAAAGGTGTCCCCACAAAATTAGTGACTGTTGCTTAACCCAGATTTCTACTCAGAATCAGTTGTATTAGACACTGAAATAAGAATAAGACTCGATGCAATTTTTTTAATAATTAATCAAATTTTTACTTTTGATCTCTAACCAATCCCAAATTAGTTCACTTACTTTCTTTTTAAGCTAAGTATATTTTACATACTACGCAAATCAAAGTCATCATTCCTGTTTCGAATTGATTTTCCCGGATAAACCCCATAAATACCCAGTATTCGGGTGGCTCTCCAACCCTCCTGCTGATAGCAGTGGATCCTTTAAAGCATCGCTATGCGGTTCTTTAATGAATCAACTCACAGTTTCAGGTTAAAATTTAACCAAGTCAAATGCGGTTAGGTTTAGGAGGAAGTGATAAAAGGCGCATAACTGGAACTTCACGTGTGAAACGTACTTTAAAGGCATTATGGTTAAGGAATTGAAAATCAGGAGACGAAGGTGATTTTCGGGTCAGTAGCCTAGGCTCCTGGGTATCGCCCTAATGAAATGCAGTCTTCACTTAGGGTCACTGACCTTTAATCAATTGGTTAATGACAGGTACGGGGCGTGATTGGGAGCCAGTAATTACGGCAGAAACACTGACAGTTCTTCCAACCAGTGAGAATGATTCACCTATTTCACGAATTTTTGCGAACTAAGTCGGTATGGCTGGCTTTTCTGACAATAATTTTGAACCAACTGGTCGTTGCTTTGGCAATTTTTTTAAAGATCGAATTAGTCAGAGACATACTTCTTGAACAGTGTGTTTGCCACTCCAAAGATGACAGTTATGGCGTAGAAGTTAAGTTAAGAATGCTATTCCCATATGTCTAGTAAAATTAAATCGGTAACTAAAATACAGATCTTTCATTGACAAGTGGTTTAACCATTTAACTGCACTCTGATCCAAGCAATGACTCGGTAAAGTGTTAAATATAATTATTTGATAACTTATTACATTCTATTCATTATCTCCAATAGATGGAAGAATTATTCTGCTTTTATCTATAAGTAGAAGTTTATGTGTTTACAAAAATTTTCGTTCGAGACTGTAGTCCGAAGGCTGAATATTTTCCACCGAGAGATGGCAAAAATCAGGATGACGCTTATTTCTGAGAGTGGTTGGGGTTCAAACCCGGACAAAAGCATATACTTCTGGATTTAGAGTCGTTGATAATTGGATATATGGTTCCATATGGGGAAACACAGTAAGGTCAGTTCAAACTCAAGAATATTCAGTCAATAAAAATTCAATACAATAAAAGGCTTGTCAGCCAAACTAATTAACGCCAACAGGCCTTTAATAAACGTTTAGTTACAATTTGAAATGTGAATTTAGTCGAGCATGAAAATGGGTTCAGGTGAAGTAAACGACAACGTTTAGAGGCGATTTTATCAGATCATAAACCCAAAGAGAATTTTTTCCTAAAAAAGGAGCTTATTCTGCTTATATCTTTAATTGAAAAAATGGCTTTTATTTCTTCAATTGCTTTTGTATCTTACTTAGCTCAATTTACGTGCCCCTCGATGTAAGCACCAAACGAAATTTATTTGCATTTATAAGAATGAATTGTTTTTATTTAAATTAGAGTTCAGGAATAGAATGCCATTAAAGTATATATGAATTTTCTATGAGGAAAATTAATTAAATATCTTTGATATATGGCAAAGGCATTTTAATGACCTAGATTAAGAGGGATAGCTTTCGCCCATGTAAAGTGCATCCTTTAAGTAAAATTATCATTAATGCCGCAATAGTAAATCAATAAAATGTGCATTTTAAATGTGGATCTGTTTTCTGAAAGTCTGTGGTCACTGAATGGAATGCCAGACTCAATATTCAGATTTTCTTCATGAAATATAGAGTTCCAATATAATCGCAGGTTAGAAAAGGAATTTAATCATGCAGGAGATTTCTTTTCATTAAAATTGATTAGACTACTGCCCTGACACTCACGAAGGGGGGTTTTAAAAGTCAAATAGTTCCACTTACACAGCTACTAATCAAGTTTGCATTTGAAATTGTTCAAATAAAATAATTGGAACGTCGATCATAACGTGATTACCCTCGTAATTTCAAGCACATATTAACTTGGGTCAATGAAAAAAAAGAAATCTCAATTGCTTTGGTAATGGGTGCTTTTCTCACGACTGCCAAAAATATACTAATTCCTCTGCCTATCCCAATTATCATGGAACATTGGTTGAATCAACTGAATTTGTATCATAATGCTGTTTTTCAATTGCCCAATTTATGGTGCTCAGATAAATCCAATTTTATTATTCGTCATTAAACTCAAATGTAGCGCGGATGATTTGAGGATATTGTTCACGACATGTATCCATGGAAAGACCGGAGTATTGGTAATAAATAACCGGCTGCAAACGTTTATGGAGCATACAAGTAACTAAGCGTGAAAACGCATTTGAATATTTATGGGGCTTTCGATATAATATAATGGAATATTTGGCGAAGAGGGAAATGTTTAATGTGTTCGTCTGAAAAATTTGAGGTCTTGGATTCAACGTTCATCCTAGCCACCCCGTGAGCTGAAAGGTCAACCGCACTAATCTAGTCTATAACCTAAAGAGGCTGGCAGAATCCCATTTTCCCACCACGAAGAGTCTACGAGGCAGCACCTTAATTCAAAATGTGCTTAAGGAAATACCTTACTTAAAAGGGTTGAATATTCGTTTCAAAAAATTTTATTTGTCTCAACTTTGCTGGGTTAAAACAGCATGCTGAGGATCAACATATAAGGTGATTTCGACTTCCCAATAATTAGAATAAAAGGTTAAGTGAATGGGAAAGATCGAACGACCTGTAGAACTAGTACAAGATGGAGTGATGAAAGCTGAATTTCAGAAGGCAAACTATCAAGTTAACCTATACAGATCAATACAAGTTCAAAAATCAAAAGAGGCAGGACGTTCTGATAACCACCTGTTACTCCCTAAATCCCTTTGATTTCCAATCGACTTGCTTCCAATAATTGAAAATTGTAAATTAACCTCGGGTTACCGTGGATAATAATACGTGAACAGCATTAGGACCGTACTCTCCTCTTTCAAAGTAATCTCCATCGGTATTAGACTCTTAGCAGAAGGCGCTACTGTTGTTTAAAACATGTCCAATACAACTATAGCCCTCATTTGATAACACCAAAATTCATCACGTCGACGACATTAGTCTACTGTGAGACACGCGTGAGTGCGGTTTGATACATTTTTCAAAAAAAATTATTCGGGTGTTAAAGGGCTAATAATACCAAAATATATGTGGTAAAAAAGCTCAACTCGCATCAACTAGACGTGAAGAGCGAAAATTATCATCCACCCCAAATTAATAATATGATTAACGTGGTCTGAAAGTTTAGAAGCTTATATTGACTCAGAAATCCCAAGAGTTCAAGAACCTACTCTAAATGTAAATTAAACCTATTTCAATTATTAACAGAATTACCACAAATTCCAAAATGAGTATTGAGCTAACTAGACGCTGGTGCTTGATCAACCCTGGAAATACACAGTTTCGCAGGATTCTAACACCACAAAAGTGTTAGCTTAGCTTTGGAGGTGGAATGGCCAAATAACTTTATTCGCACCAATTTAATTTCACATTAACTATTAGAATTCTTTAATACCTTGATCATTTTCTGCAACTTCGCTATAAGTTTCGTAGGTGAGAATTAGCATGATTTTGAAAACAGAGGCTCTACAAAAAGAATGAAAAGCGTTTGACCTTTTCAAGATATGTAGCTTTAAAACGTTAGAGCAGCTCAAATAACCATTTTGTTTCCAATATTATGGATTAGTGTACAACACTGAACCAAGGGACCATAATTCACACGTTTTTTTCAACAAACTAATCATTTCAAATTTAGCATCATAACACGTGTCAGAGTTCTTGAAACCAGCCCACCACTCACCTCTAAATTGCTCAAATGAGGACTTGAAATGCCGATAAATGGCATTTAAGGAAGCACGATTTTAGAACTTTCCAGACACTTGAACATACATCATTGTACTTATAATTAATTTAGTTGTAACACTGAAGTAACTGAAGGCAGAGTTTAAAGTTATTTAGAGTTGATAATTACCCCAAAAAATTTTAAATTCTATTATCGAAAGACTTTAGTATATAGTTTTGAACTACGAAATGCTATAATTTCAGGAAAACTAATTGGCTTATTTCAAAGTCTTTCCAACGATTTTGTGATGAATAAAGAAGTAAATTCTCCATACTTCAAAATAAACCTTTATTGAAAGCATTTAATTAAATGATTCTTTTCATAAAGTGTGCACAATATTTCCTCGAAAGATTACACTTAGTTTTCTTCCCTTTAGAGTTTCCTAAGCCCACCTGAAATTCGCTCGCTCAAACTTGGTACTGGCTTGTCATCAAAAGGTTAACTAGAGAACTCTGTTCGGCAGACTTACTTCGTCTATGGTCAGGGCGTAGGGTTTTGGTGAGAGAAAAGGCGACATTGTTTACTGCGAGAGACGTTTCCACAAAAAAATTTTCAGAAACTGCAGAAAATTTACTTTTACTCTATTTTGTACTTAAGTTAGAACCCAAATAATATTTTAAAAGATGTTTCAGCTTTTATGGAGCGTGAATGGCGAGACAGCTATTCCCTTATAAATATTCATAGACTAACAAATAGCCAGGAGATGGGATGTTACATGAATCCAAATTTAACTTTACATAAAAAGTATTTCTTGTAAACTAAAACACGAATGATTATTTTTCTAAGAATTGAATTACGCTTGTCAAAAGTGACTAACCTGGCAGGCTTGGGCTGGCCCATTACTCGAACTTTGATATTGCAGTATGTGACCCTGGGAAAATGTCCACTTGTATCCCATTCTTCGCCCTTGGTGAGGTCCTGTAGCAGCTGTAGTCCAAAAAAGGTGCTATTGAAGCCAGTAAAACACTTCATCAGGTAGATCTGGCCCAGACAGTTGGCGATAAATAGGGCACGAACAAAAAGAAAGAGGACGGTTAGTCGAGCATTGGGAGCTATGCCGCAAAGACAGCGGTTCACAAAGGATTTCATGCGGCGGAAACGAGATTGCGACTCTGCTTGCTCTTCTAGGGTGGCTACAAGACAAGAAACAGCCTTGAGACGCAATTCTCGATCTGGAATGGAAGCTTCCTTGGCGGATTTGAGCAGAAGGGGAAGTCGGCGAGAACAAACGCGCCATAGAAGGTGTGGAACCCAGGACATCATTGCTTGACCAGCCAAAACTATTGACATCCACTGATAGTACCCGATGAATTTTATCTTCTCGTATTCTAATTCTTCGGCGGGAATGTCTTCGTGGGGAAGGAGGAAGTATGTGTTGGAAACCCAGCAGTAGTTCTCTGTATACTCCTCCCAAGCTCGAGTGAATTCTGGAGGAACCCAACATTGAATAGGCTTACCTAGAGGGAATGAAGACAAAAAGCTGTGGGTAAATCTAGTTATTGCAAAAACAAAAGCAACCTGAACAGGGCTCTTTAAGTTCGACAGAACGTTTTAGACACAGAATTGTCATTTAGCCCAGTCAGATTTCACCCTCTTTTGCATTCACTTTTGTTTAAATTTATCCTGGCCCTCTCATTGCTAAATTTAACCCTTTGCAACCGCAAATACAATTTATCAGCTTTATTAATGACGGCCTATGCGTAAAATTAACTTAAATTAAAATTGATTAGTTTTTCTCCTTTGTATAAGGTCAGTTTGATAATTCTTCCCCAAGACAAATAAGGCCACATTTGAAAATTAAAACTTAAAAAGAAATTGTGCATCCACTGTCAATGGAATTGCACACTATGAGTTTCTTTGAATGCGTTACCGGAAGTTGGCTATTTACTCATCCAATTTATATATACATAGCGAGCGAAACTGATAATCATAAATTATTAACTAACTTCCATTCACTATTAAAATGCTGCATTGGCGAATGGGAACTGTACCTCAGCTAATTCTACCAGTTGAATTTGTAGGGTTATATGCAGAATACCCTTTAAAATTATATGACTTATCAAGTTATCCCCTTTTCTCTCCAACTCTCAATGACAGCATCTACACAACAATAAAGATATATGTTTGTTCCTTAATAAACTGCATATTATGGCCCAATATAGGCAAAATTATGAAAGCGAGCAGTTTTAAATTGAAAGGTTTAATTGGCTACGACTTGGAAAAATGACTATTTTCATCGCCAGACAAAATTAAACCAGCACTGTGGAGAATTTTATGACTTAATTTTCCTTATTTTGTAGAAGATGGTGAGTATTAATTAATGGCTTGTACTCATTTACAAATGAATCTCATTAAAATTTTAAGTTCAACAGAGATTAGCCGTTAAGATTGGTTTGAAATCGAAGAAAGAATAGCGGATCTGTAAAATGACATATTTTGACACCAAATTGAGCACCCTTCGTGGTCTTATAATTAGGTGGAATATAAGGTAAGAAATTAAAGTTAGGCCCCTCCAGATTATTAGATTTCCAAAGATGCCAATTTCAACACCATTAGCTATTCTGTCCAGAAAAGTGTTAAATCTTTAACCTGCGAGGTTATCGAAGGCGTAAGCTAAAACGATGTTTCCTATTCAACTGCCAAATATTATATCGATTAGCTTATAATAGACAATGCATTGATACATTAAAAAAGTGAGAAGGGGTTCTGCTAATACATGGGTTTTTTTCTTGTCGCTATTGGTACAATGGAAAGTAACTAAATCGCATAGTAATTGAGATTGAAAAACTGTCGTGCATGTGGAACATTAAATAAAATTACAATATGAGATCCTCTTACCAACGTATTGCCTTAGACTGATAATGATGATGAAAATAAGAATTAATCCACCAGTGAATTGGTAATTAAGTTGGTCAATGAAGTCAACACCCTCCCCACCGTAAGGAGTCCTAAAGAGGCGGCCAAGTTTGAAAACAAATCCACCGTCAAGTAAACCACCGGCCCCACGGGCCATAACTCAAATTTGGACCTTCGTTTGTTGACTATAAGAAAGTAGCTGAATAGCTCCACAAGGTCTACTAATGCATAATAACCGCAAGGGGTAATAATCCATATGCACGGAGGCAGAACGTTTCAGGTAGAATCCCTAATCTCGAGTCCCGATACAGAGACGTCTAAGTCAACAATTTAATATTAATGACTAAATGGATAATGGTGGTAGTTGTGCGAATGGCAGTGTGGTGGTTATTGGTCATTCAATTAAATCCACCAACATTTGCTGCGTTGAAATTCAGTGAACTCGTGCTATTGGCTCTTCTCTAATTGGTACACAACTACGACCGCACCTGCGTGTAGACATATGAACGTGTTTGAGAACAAATTGACGAATGAATATGCACGACTGACCTTGAGGCACGCGTTTTGAACGAAAGTTTTCTGACTGGCCAATCACATCGCCGGTGAGGAAGAGGACTAACCAATAAGGGTTGTGTTCGTTGATATGTAAGCTGGCTAGTGGAAAGGAAGGCTATTTTTAGTTATTACGGCTACAATGTCCGCTAGCTTTCCCAGACTTACTCAAAAGGCAAATGCACCTCGCTAGTGTGCAGTCTTTTCGCCCAAGGGAATTGGGAAGATAAAGATTGGTCGAATGTCATCAGAAAAAGTGGACAGGTGGAGGGGGGGGGGGTGATGGGAAGATGAGAGAGTGAGAGTAAGTAGAAAATATAGAAAAAGGCTTGCTTTCTCCCTCTTATCTCTTCACTTATTTGACTGACGATTTCTCCAGATCTTATTTTCACGTCGAAATTCTACTATGATCGCGCCCCCACAATAGGCTAAGGATTTTTCTCTCGAAGAAAAATTAATCAAAGCTGCACTTAGTCAGCTGTTACGTTAATTATCCCAAACGTTGTATAGCTTCTACAATATAATTAATTTTAATTCTGCCGGAATCGATGTGTCCTGGTGTTTGTTTTTTTTCAATTAACTCCAGTGTCCGTTGTAAATATAAGCTCAAAATTATAAACGAATGGGTTCAACAAGCGGCATTTATAACTGATTATTTAAACGAAGCAATATTAGTTTTCGAGATGTACTTGATTGGATTTAAACAGATTGCTTAGATAGTTTTATACATGTCTATAATTGCGCTAGAGGTGTGCTATAGACTTACCTCCACGTGGCGCACCATGGGCAGCGTAAACTTATTCGGCGAAAAGTCTATAGCAGGCAGTTGACTTCTGACTTCAAATTACCTTGACCCGAGCATATGTCACATTTAATCACTTCCGTAGTACTCATCTATCCTTTTCTCTACCTTTGTATCTGTGTCTTTTACATCTATGAATTACTCTTCTGTTCCCCCTCTCGACTTTTGCGACTTTGATGTTACACCCTTCTGAAATGCTTGAAGTCAACAAAAGGGCTTGTAATAACCTTCATAAAGACTTCCATTTGATATGAATAAAAAATTACGTTAAAAGCTTTCTTTGAAATTGTTCATTTATAAAATCTGCAGTAAAAATAATCTTACTAAAAATTCAGTAAGATTTTATCGGATAAGTTGTGCTGATATTTCATATTTTTTTAAAAAATAATAAGTTATCTAAATTTGACTTTCGTGCGACCGACAGTATTCATGAATATCATAAATACTACCTACTTATTATAGATTAGTAGGGAGAATAATTTTCTAATAGTCAAGATAACCTACCTTAACCTGAGGCAGGTGTCATCTCCATCATAATAATGTCGACCTGGTGAAGAAACCTGAAATTGCTCAGTTCAATGCAACATGCACTTCTAATATCTAAGTGGCCAAAATTTCATGCATATCTAAGAGCGGATTTTCAAACTAGAAGGCAAATGCAGGACCAGATTGCATGCGTAGTTCATTAAATCGATGTGTCTCAAGAGAGCAGGTTTACAAATTATTTTAATAAAATTTTTTATTAGAGAACGCATAGCTCAAAGATCCTAACTAGTGCATCTCCAAAATTTGTTTAGTAATAATAAAATTAAATTGCGAATATATCCATAATAAAAAATGGATGAACGTACTGGTGAAGCCTTATGTTGTCTAAAATTAAAATTGTTTACATTAATTTACTTTCACGTTGACAATTTTCAGCTATATACGTCAACTTTGGCTGTGTACAAACATTGTTTTCAAGCATGAAAGTTTTGACAAAGTCTCTTCAATCATCTGACAATAAATGAAATTTTCAGTAACCTAGTGATGCCAAACTATCAAACTGTAACTTCTTCACTAATTCGAAAACTAAATCGTATACTGCACGTTTTCAATGTTTTTAGTGAGAATAATGCACTTGCAATATTCAGGAAATAATAGTTCGTTTAAAACAAATACATAAGAAAAAGTGACGATATTTATTTATTCCCATTAACAAACTTAAGCCCATTACGTGTAATTTTCATGTTACCAACTGTAAAATTTGATTTATTTTAGTAAAATTACTTTCTTTTCGTACTCCAGATGCATGTTTAAATCGCCTGCTATAAACAGCTACTTGACAAAACAGTCTTGTTCCAACAAAAAAATTATATTCCCATAATCGCCATTCGATTGGAATTTGACACGTTTCTTTAATTTGCAAGTCTGGTTATGGACTGCTTATGATATTAAAAACCAATAAAACACAAAATTAGTTCTTAAATGAAATATTATCGATAAATTTTCTTACTATTAATATTAAACACAGAATTAAAATGAAATTCAGCTTAAAAATGTACAGTACCTTTCCAGAGAATCATCTGTAATTTTGCCATTCATAAAAAAAACAGGCAAAACACAGTATCTTATAACAACGCGAATCGTTTGTCAGTCTTAATTTAAACATGAGTAAAAAATGTCGATAAGAAAATCAAATGGTAACGATTTGAATATTAGTTGAGAGCACAATTAAGTTGACTTTCAATTATCACAAAGATAAATGAAATAGTGATATTAAAAGTTTATTAGAATTGGTTTGCTTTCCAATTGTACAAACTAATTGACATAGTTCTGACAATGGAGTAAAGTTTATACACGGGTTTTGGCGGGTATTCACCGAAAGAAACAGCAAATAAATATCGGGAGGCACTTTCAATAAATCCACTTCCATTTCTTTCGGTTAAATCGTTATATTGTGACATTTCCTTTAAAATTTGCTCAATCTTTAATGCCATAATATATTTTCTAGTAAATGACGAAGCTGATATGTGTTCAGGTACATCAAACTTGGAATATGCGTTATTATATTTAATATATTACGAGTATGCTTTTATGCGTTGCAACATTACAGGTACCTTAAAAGCTGCTTCCATTGGCTATTTGGTTTACTGGCATAATAACTATGCTTAAATAATAAATTTTTCATTTATTGAGTAATAACTAAAAATTGTTAAAATTATCTTAGCGATACCTTAACAAAATTGACACTATTTGATACAAGAATGGATGTTCCACAAAAGGTGAATTAATTATTTACAATGATATAATATGTGTTGCCAGGAATGCGATTTTAGGAAATATATGAAAGATAAATATTTCATGAAAAACTATATTCTGGTCCTCTTTTACTACAGCGGTTTTAATTCATGATAAATTGGCTTTTACCAGAGAATGGAATAAAATACAAAGAGTTGGCGGTCTGCATTGCCCATTCCAAATCTTTTTTAATTGGAAGCCGCAATTAATTTGGATTATTCAAAGCAGGGGAAATTAGGTGAAAAAGTACTCTACCAAAATTCCCCGAAATACTTTAAGATTAGAAAGTGTTTGCCTGGATGGAAAACAAACTGTTAAACTAAATAACTAAAATAGTTGTGATTAAAAATGTAAATTATTCAAATATTTTGTTGATTTAATTAACTTTTTCAGTTAGAGAAGTTCATTGGAAAATAATTTAACCTCTACTTAATGATTAATCAATTTGATATAAAAATAGGATGTTTCCCATCGACATCTAAATAGCATGCTTGTTCAAAATAATTGCGACCAATTATGTTCTATAGATCAGCACAAATAAATTATTAAATAGTAAAAAGTATTATCTAACTAAAAGTTCATATAAGAAGTGTCTATTAATCATTTCTAATTTCAAAAAGTTTTCAAATAACAAATACTTCCACTCTAACAAAAAATATGCGGGATTTTATCTGTTTTCCCACATACAGAAATAACCGATTGTCCCCAGACGGCTTAGGCTTAGGCACCAAAAGATCGACCCAATTTAATAGCATTTTAAACACTTACTTGTGCTTTATCTTTGTTTTCGAGCTCAATTTGAATATAACCTCCTAGAGTTAATTTTGATTTGATTATCTACCTCTGTTTCAAATTTCACAAAATAGTTTCTGGAGTGCAGAACTGACATGCATCTATTCCTCTCTCTTTACTCACTTTAAGCCAAATCGATTACCCCTTGATCAGCTGCCTTCTTACGGTAATAATTGCAAAAAGCACAATCCCTTTTATAGAAACCAGATAGAATAAGTATGTGCTTTCAGGTCGCGTAGATTAACCTATCTGCTATATGCATTTGTCCATATTTCTTAACTATTGCAATGATGAAAAAGTGCGTCTTAAGAGACCAACGGAATTAAGGAAGGCTATTTTACCATTTAATCCGGATGTATATTTCAGACCTTTCAGATTTACTTGCCAAAATAAAAGAATATTTTAATTTTCACTCCAATTAAACTTTTATTTGCACACTATTCTTTGCATGTGACTGAAAATATTCATTTCTTTGAGTGAAAATAAAAATTCCCTTTGCAATCAAAAATATATTCGAATTTTAAAATATAAAATATGTGTTAAATGAAATTAACATAGTTAAATCAATCAGAGTTCTTTACATGGTAAAGAAAAAATTATAAGTTTATTTTATTTTTATATTTTATTAAGACATGCAAGATTAAGATACCATTAATGAATGGGAGTTTCGTTCAATAATTCGCTTAAAGATTTTAATATTTTTCTCGTTAGTAGTCTCATTAACATGTTTG